ACACCCTACAAATCACTGCTTGTCATAGGTGACGAATTTGTAGAGAGTGACGTTAAGACGATTTCATATCTCGCTATATAATAGAGATTTGCGTTAAATATGGCAAAAATACTAGATAAACCTATGAAATTCTCCAGATTCTATATGGACTAACTTGTAAAAACCAAGTATTTGTTTTACGCTGGCATAAAAGTTGCAAGAACGGTAGAGAGGTTGTGATAGACGATGGGATGGACGGAGAAGGACGACAGACCACCAGAGCTGGATGAGAAAATTCGCAGTGTTCAGTTGGGTTCTAAGCTCTTCTACGCTGGCCGGAGGCACCAGCAACTCAACAGTACATAAGTTAAAAATTCGATACTGGTAACCAACTACTTGAGAGTGATGCGTAAATGGTCAGATTGTAATAATAATAATAATAATAATAATTATTATTATTATATTAATAATAATAATAGCTTCATGCTGCTCAGGGGTTCCCGTGTCATGGGTAAGACGATAAACTACATCCGCGTCCTGGTTAAGACGATAAAATACGTCCAACAGCAAGGCCTCTGATCAGGAGGTTTTGAGCATCGTGGAGCCACCTCTTAATTGCAGGTATTCCAATGTCTACCCTGCCTCAGGGTGGTAGTACCTGCTAGGGTCACAGACATAGGCAAATAGTTAAACACTGTTCTGGGGTCAAAATACTATGAAATTAAAAAAAAATACATTTTAATGCCAGCAATAAATTTTTCGATGAAAAATTATTACCAGGAATAAATTATTACCAGAAATACATTTTTTAAGAAAAAAACATATTACCAGCAATATATTTTTGAGGAAAAAATATTACCAGCAATATATTTTTGGAAGAGATATTATCAGCAATAAAAAAAAAATGTCGGCATTAAGCAGCCCATTGAGGATGATATACCGTAAAAACAAACCAAACCAAATCGAACCAGAGTTATATAAAAATATCCGCAAAATATGATTTGTTAATCGAGTGCTCAGTGATGTACAGAAAGAAAGACATCTTGGTGACAACAGAAATATGGTTGAACTGATTGCCTTAAATCCAGGATTACTTGAACCTTTGGTGACATATGACGAATGCTGGATCTTCTGTTATGATCCAGTGACAAAGAGACAGAGTGCCCAGAGAAAGCATCTTGACTCACTAAGTCCCAAGAAGGTCAAGCAAACCAAGTCTAACGGAGAGCTGACGATGAGCTTTTCTTTGTACAGTACGGACATGATCTACAACCAGTGAGACCACCCCCTCCCAGACGGTCAACAAAAAAGTTCTTTTTGGAGGTTGTAAGGGGTGGGGGGTTCAGGAGGAGATTTCGTCCTAAAAGTCCAAAGCTCTTTTAATCTGGCCGGTAGCACCTACACCAAGACAGTCCATAGGTTAAAAATTCAATACTGGTAACCTACTACTTGAGAGTGATACGAAAACACTGTACTCAGCCATTCTACCAGTCCAGACCTTGCTCACTGTGACTTTTGGCTGTTCCCCAAGCAGAAGCAGAGCCACAAGGTCAGTCGTTTTGAAGACATTGAGAAGATGGGAATGTCTGTAACAAGAAGCTTGAAAACACTTAATTTTGAATGACTACAGTGAACGAAAAAAAATTTCTTTTCCCGTATGTGAAACGAATCAATCGTCGCCAATGTGTTGTAGAGTAGTTTTCACAGTGGAGGCTTGTATTTCACTAAGTCGTCCTAAATTAGGTTCGACGTACAAAACGTTAGGAACTTGAAATAAGAGTTAATGACGCAGCAATCTAGTTGTGATGGTTGATACTTCAATGTCCGACATCGACTGACTCACTCAACACCACTGAGCCCAACTGTCGACCGCTACCACTACTACTACTACTTATTATGTGTGGGAGAGTCTATTAATAATAGAATAGGTACGTCAGGTATAACACTACCATGGTGGCTTCACAAAATTCCTGAGTTACAAGTCGATTGAAGTCAGAGGATGCGACTTTGAAGGCGTCTTGTTTATTTTATTTTATTTTATTTTGAATTAATAAATGTGTCTACTGCAAAATGTCTGAAAATTCTGGAATGCACCACGTACTGTTTTATAAAACTTTATATAATTTCGTACATGTAACAATGTAATTCGATGAAAGTATGTGTAATTACTGGTTTACATCTCCAACAACATAGTTAGATATGTAGCTGACACGTGTAGACACTGACATACCTTGTATGATTTGTAGCAGTGTACAATCCTACGTTTAAATATATGCATACACCGAATTATATGTCCCTTGATTCATTCTATTGAAATATCGACCAAATAGTCGATACATTTATCCTGAAGCTGGAGTCTGGAAAAACGGATCTGTGGCTACATATTTAGGTATATGAAATCAAACAGACATACAAATATATATATATATATATATATATATATATATATATATATATATATATATATAATTGCACGCTCATATATATGCATATATAGGAAATGCAAAAAGTATTTTTTATG